TCCCTCCCTATGGGGCCCGCAGATCATGTTGGTAATCCGAGCGGGTCATCGGAACCCTGTAACTGTCGTCACTTTTGGGCTCCTCAAGCCTGAATATGGAGGAAGTCTCAGGCGGGAGCCTCGTCTGTGAGTGAATTCGGAGGAAGGTCTCAGGCGGGAGCCCCCTCCCTATGGGGCCCGCAGATCATGTTGGTAATCCGAGCGGGTCATCGGAACCCTGTAACTGTCGTCACTTTTGGGCTCGTCAAGCCTGAATTTGGAGGAAGTCTCTGGCGGGAGCCTCGTCTTTGAGTGAATTGTGAAGAAGTCTCAGGCGGGAGCCCCCTCCCTATGGGGCCCGCAGATCATGTTGGTAATCCGAGCGGGTCATCGGAACCCTGTAACTGTCGTCACTTTTGGGCTCCTCAAGCCTGAATATGGAGGAAGTCTCAGGCGGGAGCCTCGTCTGTGAGTGAACTGCGAGGAAGTCTCAGGCGGGAGCCCCCTCCCTATGGGGCCCGCAGATCATGTTGGTAATCCGAGCGGGTCATCGGAACCCTGTAACTGTCGTCACTTTTGGGCTCGTCAAGCCTGAATTTGGAGGAAGTCTCTGGCGGGAGCCTCGTCTGTGAGTGAATTGTGAAGAAGTCTCAGGCGGGAGCCCCCTCCCTATGGGGCCCGCAGATCATGTTGGTAATCCGAGCGGGTCATCGGAACCCTGTAACTGTCGTCACTTTTGGGCTCCTCAAGCCTGAATATGGAGGAAGTCTCAGGCGGGAGCCTCGTCTGTGAGTGAACTGCGAGGAAGTCTCAGGCGGGAGCCCCCTCCCTATGGGGCCCGCAGATCATGTTGGTAATCCGAGCAGGTCATCCAAAACCTGTAACTGTCGTCAATGTTGGGTTCTCGCGCTGCCAGAACGCAGTTCCCAGGCCACACTTTGGATGCAACAAGGAAGTTTTTGGGCTCCTCAGGTCGCCGAGGTGCTGCGACAGGGCGCCGAAGGCGCCGACGACGACGGCCAGGCCGAGGCGCGGGCGCGGAGCTTGCTGATGTTCAGGCCCAGCGAAAGGGAGTTCACATGGCAGAGCTCGGGGGCGCACAGCGTGCGCCGCTCGGGGTTCACCCTGACGCACGCGTCCTACCTGACCTCCACGCTGTCGCAGGGCCAGACGCTGCGCAAGGGCGTCACCATCGACTGCGCGAGAGACGAGGACGCTGGCCGCACGGGCATGTCGGACGAGCAGTGGTGGCTGCACCTCTACGTCATGTTCTCCCGCGCCACGTGCATGCGGAACATGCTGATCCTGCGGCCGCCGCCGCGAGAGTTCCTGGAGTGCGGGCCGCCGGCGTCCCTGCGGAAGGCGCTCCTGGAGTTCGACAAGAGAACGGTTTTGTCCAGGGCGGAGGCGAAGCAGCTCGCGGCAGAGCTGGGCTTCGTGCTGCCTTCCGCCTGAGCGCGGCTGCGCCTCGCTCGAAGCCCGCGGGGTTGTCCCAACGGCTTGGTCTTGCGCGCCAACGGCTCGCGGGGTTGTCCCGACAGCCTGGCCCGCGGGGTTGTCCCAACGGCTGCGCGACGTGACCTGTAGAGAACGCGCCTGTGCTGGCCGTGGCGGCGACGGCGCCGAGGAACATCGACATGCGCGCTCATGCAACAGGAAGGGGAGGAGGTGGCGGGGCGCGGAACAAACAGGGGGGCGAGGATGGGGACAACGTAAGGAGTGGAAGGGGGGCCCGCGCCAAGGCGAGAGGAAATATACGCAGAAGAGACAGCCAGGACGCCTCACCAACCACGAGGACGACGGTGATGGTTTTTTCCAGATTCGCCCAGAGGATTCTTATGTGGGGTTCTTCCGTCGGAGTAATTGTTTTGAGAGAGAGAGAGGGCAAGGAGGACAGTGCAAGCTGCGAGAGGCAGACAAACAAGAACAGCAGGCGAGCCGTCGTCTGGATAACACTCGTGTGTGCTATATATACGCATATATATACATGTACATATGTACATACTATAAATATGTATATATATATATAAATATAATTATATATATATATATATATATATTGAATGTTACCCAGCGGCGGCAAGATGCGAATCGTGCAAATGAAATGCGGGAACACGGCCTCGACCCGGCAGGGTGGCCACGCGGCCTCGACGTTGCGCCGACAAGCCTTGGCCATTCCTCTTCCCCCTCCCCCTCCTCCTCCTCCTCGCCCTCCTCCTCCCCTCTCATCATCCCCGAACCGTTCGGGGAGATTCCTATATTCGCCCGTGCGTGACCCGAGGAAAAAAAAACAATCGTGAGGAGTGATGGGCACATATATGGCATACTAGGAGGAGGGTCGGGGGGGAACGCCATGTCTTTTCACGCGGAGTCATTGCCATGCTTTTCCACGCGAAGTTGTCGGAGACCGACTAGTTCGGAACATTCCCATCTCCCCCGTGGGCCCAGGAAGTGGGGCGAGGATATATGGGCACATATGGAAGAATATTCAAAGTGGGGGTTTGGAGGGTTGGGAAAACGGAGGCAACGCCATGTCTCTTCACGCAGCGGATCTGGCGTTCAGTACGCAGCCGCAGCGCCTACCGCCACGCTGCCGCCCACCACCTCGCATGGTGAACCCTCTCCTCCCGTTCCCCTCGCCCTCCGCTTCCCGTTCCTCATCTTCGTTTTCCTTCGCCCACCCACTCGTATGGTGAGCCCTCTCGGGGGGGGGCGCCCCATGCACGGTGAGACATATTGAAACGGAGCGCCCCCCCCCCTGGTGAAACATATTCAAGCGGAGCGGGCCCGTGCCTCGCGCCCGCTCTTGCGTCCTCCTCATCCTTCTCTTCTTTATCCTCATATTGTTCCTCAGTTTCCTCTTCCTCGGCTTCCGATTATGCCTCCTCCTGTTCCACGTTATTCTTTCCCGCGCTTGGTTCCGAGAGAGGAAGCGCTATGGGGCCACGAAACGTTTGAGGGCTGTGCCGACATGGGTGTGGGTGACGCACGCGGGCGGTGGCACTGGGGCCGTCGGCGGTGCCCCTTTTACGGGGCCACGAAACGTGTGAAGGGCGTGCCGACATGGGTGTGGGTGGCGCATGCGGGCGGTGGCACTGGGGCCTTCGGTGGAGCTCGCTATGGGGCCACGAAACGTTTGAGGGCTGTGCCGAAATGGGTGTGGGTGACGCATGCGGGCGGTGGCATTGGGGCCGTCGGTGGTGCCCCCTTTCTATGGGGCCACGAAGCGTGTGAGGGATGCGCCAAAACGAATGTGAGTGACGCAGGTGGGCGGTAACACTAGGGCGTTCGGTGGGGCTCCCTGTGGGGCGACGAAGCATGTGAGGGGTGTGCCGAAATGAATGTGGGTGACGCATGCGGGCGGTGGCACTGTGGTCAGTCCCTATGGAGCCACGAAACGTATAAGGGGTGGGCCGAAACGAGCGTGGCTGACGCATGCGGGGGGGGGGCGCTTTGGCCTTCGGCGGGGTTGCGTATGGGGCCGCGAAACTTGTGATGGGACTGCCGAAATGTGCGGGTGACGCATGCGGGCGGTGGCACTGGGGCCGTCGGTGGAGCTCCCCATGTGGCCACGAAACATGTGAGGGGCGCGCCGAAATGGGTGTGGGTGACGCACGCGGGCGGTGGCACTGGGGCCGTCGGCGGTGCCCCTTTTTACGGGGCCACGAAACGTTTGAGGGCTGTGCCGACATGGGTGTGGATGACGCATGCGGGCGGTGGCATTGGGGCCGTCGGTGGTGCCCCCTTTATATGGGGCCACGAAACGCGTGAGGGGTGTGCCGAAATTTGCGTTGTTGACGCCTGCGGGCGGTGGAGGAGGGAGGGCAACGAGGAATGAGTGGGTGACGCGGGGCGCTGTCTATGCAAAGCGAGGACCCAACGCAGCAGGATGTTTGGACATTTGCCTGGCGAAAGATCCAACCATATACAATTGTGGGAAGTGCCGCTGTATGGGCCGCATTCGGTGGAATTCCTGGGGCCACAAAGCGTGAGAAAGGTGTGCCAAAATGGATGCAGTGGGCGCGCGCGAGCGCTGGCATTTGGGCCTTCGGTGGGGTTCCCTATGGGGCGACGAAGCGTGTGAAGGGCGTGCCGAAATCGGTGTGGGTGACGCATGCGGGCGGCGGCACTGGCGCCTTCGGTGGAACTCCCGATGGGGCCACACAACGTGTGAATGGTGTGCTTAAATGAACGCGGTGGGCGCATGCGAGCGCTGCCGTGCGGGCCTGTGGTGGAGCTCTTTACGGTGCCAAGAAAGCCTTAAATGTGTCCCAACATTGGCGCGGTGGGCACATAGGTGCGCTAGCATCTGGGCGTGCGGTGGAGCTCCCTGTGGGGCCACAAAATGTGTAAAGGGTGTGCCGCAATGGGCGCGGTGGACGCATGCGAGCGCTGGCGCATGGGCCTGCGGTGGAGCGCCCGACGGGGCCACAACTCGTGTGAAGGGTGTCCAAACATGTGCAGCGGTGGGCGCATGCGAGCGCTGGCACCTGGACCTTCGGTGGGGCTCCCGATGGGTCCACGAAACGTATGAGAGGTGTGCCAAAATTGGCGCGGTGGGAGCATGCGAGCGCTGGCATGTGGGCCTTCGGCGGGGCTCTCTGTGGGACCACGAAACGTGTGAGGGGTGTCCCGGTGTGCGCATGCGAGCACTGGCGTATAGGCCTGCGGTGGAGCTCCCGATGGGGCCACAAAACGTGTGAGGGGTGCGCCACAATGGGTGCGGCGAGCGCACGCAAGCGCTAATTTTTTGGCATTCGGTGGAAATCCCTATGGGGCCACGGAACGTATGGCAGGTGAACGAAACAAAATGCGGTGGGCGAGTGCGAGCGCTGGCGTGTGGGCCTTGGGTAGGATTCCTTATGGCGCCAAAATGGGCGCGGTGGGCGCATGCGAGCGCTGGCACCTGGGCCTTCGACGGGGCTCCCTATGGGGGCCACACAACGTGTGAGGGTGCGCCGACATGGGTGCGGTGGACGCATGCGAGCGTTAGCACCTGGGCCTTCGGTGGCGCTCCCTGTGGGGCCGCACAACGTGTGAGAGATGTGCCAGAGTGGATGCGGTGGGCGCATGCGAGCGCTGGCGTGTGGGCTCTTGTTTTATGATCAGCGCGGTTCGCGCAGCACGTGCCGAACGCAATCTGGAGACTGACAGCCGTACCGCCAAGTCAAGTCAGACAAACCGTCGGCCGATTCGATAAACTCGAACGCGGGGGCGAGGGCCAGCTCAGGAGGATGCAACAGAGGGCCGAACCACGCTTCGAAGACCACCATACGAGCAATCCACCAGGGCGCCGCCCTGCGCCCACGGTAGCAGAGCTCGAGGAATAGAATACCCGAGAAGCGTTCACCGCTCTGCAAGCTGTGGACGGCCGCCAACGACGAGGAAGACGACGAGCAGTGCATCGCAAAAGGTCTGGCAGTTCTGCCAACACTGCTGTCAGTGGCGCCTACACCTGGTGAGCCTGGGCCGCCAGCGCTCCCGTAGCGACCATGGCGCGGCCACCCCTCCACACAGCGACTGACGAACGGCGGCAGCGCAGCAGCAGGGATGCCCTACAACACCGTGGCGCCACAGGTGCACCTCGGGAAGGGAGTCCACCTCGGGAGTCTTCGATCACTCTGCCAGCGTGTAGTTGGCCTCCTCGAAACGCGGAATCAGCTCCTGGACGACGGGCCAAAACTCCGGAGCGTCGGCCCGCAGCGCCGAAGGCGCGGCGGCGGACGCGGAGCCGCCCAGAGCACAGCCTGCATGAGAAGAGCCACGCTCCGAAGCGTCGACGGAAGCCGGCTCCCCCTCCTCACTGAGGCCCTGGTCGGAGGAGGCGCTGTCGCCATCGCCCTCGAACGCGCAGCTGATGAAAGCAGCGGCCCCGCCGCGCGCCTGAGGCGCGTCCGAAGGCAAAGCGCAGTCAACCCTGCCACCGCCCCGAACATCTTCGACGCCGTGGGAACCGCTATGCCCCGCCTGCGACATAGGTACTGGAAGGCGATCATCACGCAGTGCTTCCCGGCGCCCAGCACTCGGAAGACAATCCGGAACTCCAGCAGCAGGGAAGCCCCCAGCGCCGAGGCGCGGTCCGCGCGCGGCTGCCCGCCACAGCGCCATCCCTGCCCCGTCCTCGGGAAGGTCCCGCGCGTGCTGGGAGCAGCAGTTCCTGATGAGCACGTCGCCGTGAGCCGTTCGCGATCCAAGGATCCTCGAGACCAGCACCCCCCGCGACAGCCTCTCGCGCCTGTTGACCTCCTCCGCCAGGGCCACGAGCGCGGTGCCGCTACAGGGCGGGTCTCCACGGCCGCGCAGGGCTCTCCAGAGCCCGCGCTGGGCTCTCCAGAGCCCGCGCTCGCAGGCATCGCGGGCACGGCGTCGAGCCAGCCTGCGGTCCTGCGTGGAAGGCCACGGGCAGTTTCCTGCAGCCGCCCCCCGAACCACCATGCGGAGCGCGCGGATCGAAGGGCGCCCAATTGGCTTGCGCCAGAGGGCCACCCTTGAACCAGCGCGCGCCAGGCATGAACCAATGACTACGGAGTGGCATGTGGGCTTTCGGTGGAGCTCCTTATGGGGCCACGACGCGTGTAAGGGGTGTCCCAAAATGAGTGCGGTGGGCGCATGCGAGCGCTAGCATCTGGGCCTTCGGTGGAACGCCCTATGGGGCCACGAAAGGTGTGAGGGGTGTGCCAAAATGGCTGCGGCGGGCGCATGCGAGCGCTGGCACCTGGCCCTTCGGTGGAGCTCCTTCTGGGGCCACGAACCGTGTGAGGGGTGTGCCAAAATGAGCGCGGTGGGCGCACGCGAACGCTGGCACCTGGGTGTTTGGTGGAGCTCCCTATGGGACCACGAAACATGTTAGGGGTGTGCCAAAGCGGGAGAGGAGACGAAGAGGGGAAGGAGGGGGCAGCGGGAGGAAGGAGTGAGCCGCGGGGTGCTGTCTCTTCAAAACGATGACCCACCACCACAGGATGGTTGGGAAGAAAGGAGTGCGAGGAGCAGCGGCAAACAGGAAGAGAGGGGGAGGGCGTGGAAGGAAGAGCAGCAGAGGGAAAAGGCATGAATGAGGAGAATGAGGCAAATGATTAGGAGGATGGATGAGGGGGATGGAGGGGGAGAGGGAAGGAAAGGAGGAGGTGTGGATGGGGGGTCAGACAAGGGGGAAACGGAGGAGGACTGGGAAGGGGGAAGGAACGTCGTGGAAAGAGTTAGGGGAAAGACGGAGGGCGCGCGAGGAGTGAGGGACGAAGGCGGACGGAACGGAACGGAAGGGAAGTCTGCGTGCCAGCTCCGGTAACCGGAGCGGTCCCCTAGAGGGCAGACCGTGCGCTGAGCATGTCGGAATCTGAATGTCGGCAACGAGCACACGCAGGAAAATGCGATAAATAATTCCTCTGGTGTGCAGGTTTTCAGTCAGAGAACCTTCGCTGGCTGAGAAGAGCGAGAGGAGGAGGAGGAGGAGGAGGAGGAGGAGGAGGAGGAGGAGGAGGAGAGGTAGGAGGAGGGGAGGAGGAGGAGGAGGAGAGGAGGAGGAGGAGGAGGGAGGAGGAGGGAGGAGGAGGAGGAGGAGAGGAGGAGAGAGAGGAGAGGAGAGGAGAGGAGAGGAGAGGAGAGGAGAGGAGAGGAGAGGGGGGCAGCTAGCAGCGCGCCGCGGGCACGTCTACATTCAGTGTATCAGAGAAATCACAGTCTTATCATGTACGGAACGCGTCACCCCATCTCAAGCTGGCTCTGCCGACAGAGCGTTTGGGTACAGTTCTGAACCAAGGCGTCCAATCTAACAGTCTTTTGTTCGATTTCTCTTCGGTACCCAGGAAGAGTCGAGTAGCATAATGCCGTTTTCGTTCGGCCTGAAGTCCGCCCCAATTTTTGATGCTATAGTTGTTGCAATACGCATCGACTCGTAAAGTTGCACGTCTTATATAATCGACCCAGCTTTCATCATCACCTCTCGCCACACGGAACATGCTGCGCAACATGTTTCTCCGGGTGGCTCTGAATCTAAGCAAGGTCGCGGTCCCCTTTGTCCAACACTCGCACCCATACAAAGCAGTTGGGGTCACCACGCTGTCAAATAGTCGCATTCGTTGCCGTAGAGGATACGTCCTCGAACACAATACTTTCCGAAATTTCGCAACAGATTCCCACGCCTGTGCCAAGCGATTCGTGTACTCGACCTCGTGGTAGTGACCCAAAGATAACTGTCTCCCCAGATATCTTTTCTGATTCTTCTTGCTTCAAGATCTCAACGCCGTGTCCGGACAGCGAAATTGATGAGGCAACATTCGTACTTGAATTTGTTAAAGTCTTTGTTTTCCCAAGGTGTACAGGAGGAGCAGGATCTGAGGGAAAACATGGCGCAGAACGATGACTACAGGCACGAGGAGGGCAATACCGATGAATGGGAGGAACGAAAGAGGGCGAGAAGGAATGCGAAGGGCGGAAGATGAGGCAAGGAGTCGTGAAGACCTCTGACACTGCACATGGGTGCACGGCCGAAGTGCAGATCCGCGCTGCGGAGTCTTGCGGAGTCTCCGTTCCATATCCTGGTAACGGTAACGTTGTATCCCGCCAGTGCGTCTAGGCCTTTCTCGATCGGAATGCGCCTCTCGCTCGCACCCCCCTTCTAGGTGAAGACGGCCGGGGGGGACTACCTCAGAATGGCACCGCGGGAGGTCACCTCAGTCCCGACACTCCGAGCTGTCGCGGCCTTCAAAAAACATAATTACGAGCGCTTCAGGAGATCCGCGCCTACCCATCTCAGAGAGTCTGCAACACAGATCCACGCATCGTGTGCGCTTCGAGGGCGTTGCACTTCCCCGCACAAGGTTCCCCCGTCCTCGTCCTCTTCCTCCTTCTTCACCTCCTCCTCCTCCTCCTCCTCCTCCCTCTTCCGCCCGCTTCTCCTCCTTCTCCTCCTCATCCTCCTCCGCCTCCTCCTCCATCTCCACCTCAATGCTCCAAGTCGGAAAAACACGTTCATCAATCTCATCCATCCACGCCCCTCCCCGCTCCCGCTTCCATCATCTCAATCCGTCCCGCCTGATCCGACCACCTGAGAAAGTCCACCCGATCCGACCCGACCCGACCACTTGTGCAAGATTCCGCCCCACCCGACCCGACCGCCAAGGTTGGGGTCCGTCCCAACCCGCCTCGATCCGACAGTCCGAGATGAAGCCCGCTTGGCCCGGGCGCCCGAATTGGGGCCCGCCAGAGCTACCCGACCGCTTGAGGTGGGACCCCTTTTGCCCGCCCCCACAAGAGAAGGAGCACCCTCCAAGGGGGGAACCTCGGAGACGAAGAGGGCGGGCACCGAAGGCTAGATGGGGGTATGCGTCCTGAGCGACACATTGGGCAGGCAAGAGCGACCCTGACTCTATAATTGGCCGCGCGAAGATTACCCTCGAACTTCATGGTCGAAGTGCGCCGCCCGCCGTTCTCCTCGCACAGAGAGCAGGCGGAAGAGAGCGGGGGAGGGGGGACCCGCCATCGCTCGAACGTCCATTCCCGTACATGTTTCGACTTCGTGCGTGCGTGCTTCGCTAAGTGTTCAAAGATGCCCACAGATGGTCCTTGCCGAGAAAAAGTGCACACGTCCGAGCGATGCCAAGGGGACGGGCGGCCGAGCCCCTGCGCGCCTTGTGCGAGGCGGCCGAGGCAGCTGTGGCGTCCTTGCCGCCCATCTGCTTCAGCACGCCCTCGGGGCGGAGGGGAGAGGACGGAGAGAGAGGGAGCGTTCCCCCACATTCCTCCCACATCCCCATCGTCCTTCCCGAATGCTGAGTCCCCCGACCCGCCCCGATCCTGGATCCCGCCCCCCCCCAACGACCCTCTGTCCTCCCCTCCTCCTCCTCCTCCTCCTCCGCCTCCTCCTCCTCCTCCGCCTCCTCCTCCTCCTCCGCGCCACGCGGTTCCCGCCGGCGCTCTTTAGTCGGGAGCCGGCGCAATCCCCCCAACTGCTCAGCGGCAAACCACCCCCAAGGAGGAAAGGGTGCGCCGGCCAGGGCCTATACCTCGCATAACTGGGACCAGGCCGGCGACGCCCAGGATGGCGCGGACGGCCGCGACGGCCGCTTGCCAGCATGCGCCAGCCGCCCACCCGCGCCCAGTGGCGGCCGCGCCGCGCCTACGGGCGTCTTGTGCGGCCGCTCGCGCCTGGCGCCCTGGTCCGTTCCCCAGCCAGCCTTTCCGCTGCAGTTGCGACCCCCGCAGCAAGCCCAGCGGCAACCGCGCTAGCGCCGCGCCGCCCCGCCCTGTCCCCAGCCGCGCAACCGCCCGGCCCCCCGCAGCCCGCGGGCGCAACGCCCAACCCGGCGCCCCTGCGCCTTGCTCCAATGGCGCCGCGCCGCGGAGGCGGCGCCCAAAGTCCTCGGCAGTTTCCGTCCGGCGGCCTGGCCAGGCGGCCCTGTGCGGCTTCATCCTGCGTCTCCTCCTCCTCTCCTCCTCCTCCTCCACCTCCTCCTCCTCCTCCTCCTCCTCCTTCCTCCCCTCCTCCTGCTCCTCCTCCTCCTCCTCTCCGTCTCCCCCCCTCCTCCTCCGCCTCCTCCTCCTCCTCCTCCCTCCTCCTCCTCTTCCCCTCCTCCTCCCTCTTCCTTCCTCCTTCCTCCTTCTCCTCCTACCCCTCCTCCTCTTCATCCCTGCTCCTCCTCATTCTTCTTATCCTCCTCCTCCTCCTCCTCCTCTCCTCCTCCTCCGCTTCCTCCTCCTCCTCCGCCTCCTCGTCCTCCGCGTTCCTCATCGGCCTCCTCCTCTTATTCTTAAGTGTGTTATTCGTATTAGTCGTACTTGTCGTTGTATGAATAGTATTAGAAGTATTATTAAGCTTCTTATTCGTCTGCTTCTTATTCGTATTAGTCTGATTCGTGTTCGTCTTCGTATTCGTCCTTTTCTTATTCTTACCATTGATAGTACCAGTGTTCGTGTTATCCGACTTCTGATGTTAGTAGTATCGTTCCTCATATTGTTTGTCTTATTCGTAGTTTTGATTTTGTTATAATAATAGTATTAATATTACTAGTACTAGTTTTAGTATTATTCCTCCTCGTCCTCATCCTCCTCCTCCTCCCTCCTCCTCCTCCTCCTCCTCCTCCGCCTCCTCCTCCTCCTCCTCCTCCCCCTCCTCCTCCTCCTCCTCCTCCTCCTCCTCCTGCTCTTCCGTCCTCCCCCCGTCCTCCTCCTCCTCCCTCCTCCTCCTCCTCCTCCTCCTCCTTCTCCTCCTACCCCTCCTCCTCTTCATCCTGCTCCTCCTCCTTCTTCTTATCCTCCTCCTCCTCCTCCTCCTCTCCTCCTCCTCCGCTTCCTCCTCCTCCTCCGCCTCCTCGTCCTCCGCGTTCCTCATCCGCCTCCTCCTCTTCTTCTTAGTTGTGTGATTCGTATTAGTCGTACTTGTCGTTTTATGAATAGTATTAGAAGTCTTCGTAAGCTTATGTGTCGTATGCTTCTTATAAGCATTAGTCTTAGTCGCGTCCGTCTTCGTATTCGTCCTTTTCTTATTGTTACCATTGATAGTATCAGTATGCGTGTTATCCGACTTCTGATGTTAGTAGTATCGGTCCTGAGATTGTTACTCTTATTAGTAGCACTGTTACCGTTATTAATAATATTATTAATATTACTAGTATTAGTATTAATATTCCTCCTCCTCGTCCTCCTCCTCCTCCCTCCTTCTCAAACTCCCTTTCCTCCTCCTCCCCTCCTCCTCCTCTGCTCCTCCTCCTCCTCCTCCTCCTCTCTCCTCTCCTCCTCCTCCTCTCTTCCCTCCTCCTCCCCCTCTCCTCTCCT